TTTGTATTTGTTATTTCTGAGGACGGGAAATATATTTGACGTTCATTTTAACAGCACAAATCGAGCACAAACGAATGACACCAGTTTTGTGCGATTTAGACGAACTGGGGTGGAGAGTGACGTCACAGCTCCCGAAAATATTTTGGTTATATCTAAGGAAGGAAAATAGATAGTGTTTGTTTTAACGGCACAAACGGGCACAAATCAAGCACAAACGAACTGTGCTGGTTTGGAGAGATTTGAGCAACATGGGGTGGAGAGTGACGTCACACGGTCAAAAAAATTATGTTTAATATCTCAAACACCAAACCAGCACAAACGTTCGTTTTTGCGGCACAAATCAGCACAAACGAATGGCATAGTTTTGGTGATTATTTCTTTTTATGGGGTGTCAACTTCACGGAGGTGCAAACAGGGCCTCAGAACATCTTAGTAACCATATAGTGATTTTGTGTGAACCATCCACAACACACTAGCAAAGTGTTGGTGAATTTTATTTTTTATTTTATTTTATAGTGATACATAAATATATACTTTTTTAAATACAGTATTCACATTATAATATACCTGTATTAAAAAGTGATATAATTTTACTGTATCATCCTAATCAGACTGATGCCAGGAAAAAAATAAAATAAAAATAAAAAATCTGTAACCATATGGGTAATAATGTTCACAAATATTCACTATTTATCACTTTGAATTACTATACAGAATATGAACTATCTTGTTATTATTTTTTTGTACATTTTAACAAAGAGGCAAGTTGTGTTGTGCAGGTTGTCAAATTGTCACTATAATTCAAGAGTGCGCTCTCTTTCCTGATAGGACGATCGCTCTCTCATTAACCTGCACCTCATGCACACCAGCTACTTCCTGTTTGTGATGGTCATCACAATGTTCTGCTATGCAGTCATCAAGGGCAGGCCTGGCAAAGTTCGACAGAACAACCCAGATTTCTGTCCAGAAAAGGTACGACTTGGTATATGAGATCTGTGTGATAGAGAAGTTGTGCAGTTGCTGACATGTTGATGTCGTCATCCAGCTCCCAACAAACATGTGTACTAGTTGAATGCTAAAAGTGCCTGTTTATTTCACAGGTGGCCTTGTCTGCGGGATAAATGGGGGTTGGTGAACATCTGAACCGAAACATATCGGAAAGGGAAGGAAGAAAACTACATGTTGCCTACTGAACCCAAGAGAAGGGTGCAAAAAAAAAAAAGCTCTGTGAATGCATTACTCTGCAATGTTGGGTCACTCCAACCAAAGACTTTTAAGTGCCTGTATCTACTGTGTAAATAATGATAGGACTCTTAAATTCAGTACAGAAGCAGTCTGCCTGAGCTTCCCCCTGCACCCTGTGCCATCCTGTCAATGTTCAGTATATCCAGTATCAACAGAGGACAGTGTTTGGCTTGAAATGTTCCGATGGGGAATATCACCTCCACTGAATCTGATCCCTTTTCACACTCGCTCTTTGCGTTCTTGATCAGCTCACTTCCTATGACATTTGATTTCTCTGGAGGTGACCTTTGCCTTGTCATTCCTCTTGTGTCTTTGTCTTAACCGACCCTTTCATGTGTGTCCATTGCAGATTCTGCAGTGGCATTTCTTTTGATTCCTCTTTGAGGATGGGCAGATGCATGGATCTCTGCCATGTACCATGATCAACCTGCTGGTCATGATCTTTGGACGCGTTCCACTAGAGATGACAGCAGGCTTCTGTACGACACGCTTCTTTTATCATCGAACCCACGCTGGTTTTATTGTGAACGTGTCTAAATGAGATGCCCAAGTGGAAGTTGGCACAGCGCTTGAATAAATTCCTTTTAAAAGCAAATAAAAACACAAACATCTTACTCAGAATGTCACCATGTTAGTGAGTCGAGATAAAATGCCTGTTCTTGGATCGATGGACTTGTGTGTTGAAATCGAAATGAATGCAATGATTAATGGCTTTGGGCTTCACGTCTCTGTTTCTGGACACTTCAAATTAATATATTTGTAAAATCAGCAAATTAACAGCAGTGATGCAGCATCAATCTCTTGTACGTTTAACATTGTTTAAAAAATGTAAATCATTATTGTAGATATTTTTTTGTAATCACATTACTTTCCAGTTTTGTTTTTTACAAAACCTTTTCTACCTTCATCCATTGTGTTTCTTGCCTTTTGATTGTTTCGTTTCATGCCTCATTTGATACTTAAGCAATGCGTCTGTTTCGTTTTAATCTTAGTGCAATATCTGACCTGTCTTTTTGCCTTCCAAACCTTATTTAGTTATTCTTATTGTCATTAGGTTTTCATTTCCACCCAATGAAATGCATATCATGTCATATCGCTTGAGACGTATTACGAGAGAGTGCTTTCCTCCTCCAATCTGTCTAGTTCATGCTTTTAAGCATCTTTGTCCTCTCCACCTACAAAGTTTCACTGCTCTTTATCGACAAACCCATTTTCCCATCATGCCTTGCTTAATTACAGCCCGCTGCATCAATCACGGTTCATCAGCACTCCCCTTCTTTCGCCCTATATTAAAGCCCATAATAAACAAGCATCCAACCACGAATGTGCCTTTGCACGGTCTCACCCATGTTCGCCACACTTTCTTTGACCCGTTTCCTCCTTCGGTTCAACCTATTGTATTCATTTTGAGCATGTACTGCTCACACTGACTTCCTCCCCACTTCATATCCAATTCGGAGTCAAAACTGCAGTTTTGCAGTTGGGAAAGAGTGGAATTAATTTGTGCTTTTTCTGTTGATGCATAAGAGCAAAGACTTGCTTGTTTTACTCGCCAAATCCATCCTACAATAACTAGTTTGATAGATTTTCAAGTTAGAAAAAAAAAAAGCTATATGATGCTTTGAAACCTTTGAATAGCAATATCTTGCATTTGGGACATTTATTTGTACGTTCGACTGATGCGTTTGTGCTTTTTTTGAGACCTTTGCTCACGTCTAGTTTCTCTTTGGGATCGTGAGATGAGTTCAAACCGTTCTGATGGCTGTAGGAGCCTTTCTGATAGCGAGAGCATTCTGCTTCATAATGCATAATTTCTGCGCTTATTAAAGTTGGCCTTTCAGTGCTGCTGGAGGACAATGGCAAATGACAACGAATTCAATGGATGCTACCTGATGCTCAGATCATATTGATCTTCCCCCTCGTCCTTCCTTTGGGCTCGTAGCATTTGAGTGAAGTGTATGTGTAAGTGGTAGAAGGTCCTTTTCTTGTCTGAACTTGCGGCGCAAACTCTCGCCGGATTCCTCGTGTTGGTGAGAGGCGGCACGAGCCCTTCGACTCGTCATGATGCATGATTGTAAATGTTCTACCTGCTGACCTGTTTGTATGAGAACAATCCCTCTGTTTTTGTTCTGTTTGTAAGATATTGTAGGCACATGCTTTGCTGAATAAAATCTGAGAAAACTGACTTTGTCGTTGGTGTTTTTTCTTAATAAAGAACAATTTCATGGTTCAGTTTTTTTATTGCTTCATGATAACATTTAATTTAATCTAAAATTGTTATTTGACTCTAATCTTACAGATCAAGGTTAATAATAAAACAATGTAACATCCATTAGAGGAAAATGGAAAGCAAGATATTCTCGGTTTGCTATAGAACATGTCAGAAATTGAAGTGGATGGTTTTGTGTGGAGGGCATGACGGATGCACTCTATTCTGTTGAAGGCCATCTGGGTGTAACTAATTGTATTTTCTGTCAATAATGGATTTGATTGCTGCCGCAGCCAGTTTACCTGAGGAACGCAAGGCTGACATTTCATCATTTACTTTCTACTTTACCAGATGAATAATCATTAATCAAGCAATTTATTGTTAGAACTGTGCATTTGTCACACTTTTTTTTAAATTTATTTCCCATAGTTTCTGTAAAGACATACAGTGGGTACGGAAAGTATTCAGACCCCCTTAAATTTTTCACTCTGTTATATTGCAGCCATTTGCTAAAATCATTTAAGTTAATTTTTTTTCCTCATTAATGTACACACAGCACCCCATATTTTAATATATTTTAAAATGTAATTTATGCCTGTGATGGCAAGACTGATTTTTTTAGCATTATTACTCCGGTCTTCAGTGTCACATGATCCTTCAAAAGTCATTCTAATGTGCTGATTTGGATCTCGAGAAACATTTCTTATTTGGATCTGTCTTGAAAACCGTGCTGTACATTGTTATCAGGAATCTTTGATGAGTAGAAGTTTTGGTTCGAAATTTAATTTTGTACATTGTATTGCATCCCATTCTATAGGCCTATACCTGCCCTGATCATAAAGGTAAAATCGTGTTCATGGAGATTCATGTATTTGCGTTTATATATTCAAACAACAAGGATCCCACCTCAGGAGAAGCACATTGTCTGTTGTTTAGACGTTTGAACAAAAACTCCCACGCAACCTGCAGGCAGAAAATTACACCTGTCAGTACTAACTTCACGGCCGGTTTTTTTGTTGTATACCTTGGGGATAAGAATATTGTATTGGTGCATAGCATGCTGCTTTCCAACTGTGTTTTTCCTCCTCCTGTGCGTGTGTATGAGTGTGTGTGTGTGTGTGTGTGTGTGCTCTCTGTACTTTTTTCACAAGCACCTGTTGCTAAGATACCCAGAAGAGACACTGGCCTCTTGGCAGGTAGCAATACGCAGATGCCCACCAGAGTTTCCAGTGTTTGCTTCAATTTTTCTAGGTTGGTCTGTGACTTATTAATAACATAAATACTTTTATGAAAATTCATTCATTTGTATTTATTCCTACTGCGTCACAGACAGTGTTTAGTTTGAATCTACTTCTATGTTCTGCACCGCGACACCTGGCGTCTCTGTTTCACATTTCTTTTTGTTTCACATCCTACCAAAAATGACAATAAACGCATTTTTGACGTTAGCTGTATTTTTGTGTTTTGTTTTACCATAAAGGTAATAGCTCTGATTTAATCCACTGATTCATTGCACTTCCTCTTTTCACCTGGGAAACTTGCGCGCGTTTGCCCGGGGGGGAGCACGTGGTGGTCAGCACTCCAGCATCTGCTGCGGTGGGAAGGTGTGACCTCAGATTTCCCCTCGCGCTCTTTTTGCAGAGTTGGAGATAAACTACTGCGTGGCTGTCCTCCAAAGCGGCCGCTAAACCTCCAAGCACACGCGCTCTCACAGTAAACACCTTTCACACCATTATCCACGGGATTACCTTGTTTTCTGTGACACCTGCTACCTTTTTGGTGTGTGCACAGCTTTGACCCCGCCAATGGGGGTTTGTGTCCGACCGCTGAGAGGCATTTGGGAAGAAAATAAATAACTTCCTCTGGTTGTTTACATTGGAAACATAACTTCTCAAGGTAAGGCACGCTGTTGTTGTGTTTAGACCATCTGTTTGTTTCCCTTTATGTTGTTTGGTTGGGAATTACGCAGTTGTTTTTAAATGTGATATTGTCAAATGCATTAGATAACATGATATTAAAGGGGTCATATGATGCGATTTCAATTTTTCCTTTCTCTTTGGAGTGTTACAAGCTCTTGGTGCATAAATAAGATCTGTAAAGTTGCAAAGACTAAAGTCTCAAATCCAAAGAGATATTCTTTTTTAAAAGTTAAGCGTCAACTTTTAGCCTACGGACAACGGCTCGTTCTAACACGCCTCCACATGTCTAGGTCACTATCTGGGAAGATTTGCATAACACCGCCAAAATGTTCAGGCAAAGAAAGAAGGTGTAACTTTTATTCTCGCTGTAGTATTGTTGCCGCCGCCACCATGCCGTGGAGACGCTGTGCTTCGTTGTGAAAGCGAAACAACTTTGTTTGGCCTTCTAAAAGAAGACGATATCTGCTTCGTCATGCCTAGAGCTGATCCGTGCTGGTCGCTGAGGAAATACATCAACTTCGCGCTGTGGATCGCCGGATTTTACCGTGGACGAAGCGTAGTCCAGCCCGGGGTCGTCACATGTGGTTGCCGCAAGCCCGCCGGACGCTCCGTTCTCAAGCCGCTAGCCTCCGCTCACTCTAGCCCACTTTGTTTCGTTGTGAAAGCGAAACTACTTTTTGGCCTTCCAAAAGAGGACATAACTAGAAATCAGTGGTTAAGTGTGCAGATAGTTTGTTCATTTTTATGAGCTTGAGGTGATTTTATTGGTTTAAACATTTTATTGACTGAACTTCTGCAATTATCAAACAAGCTAGCAAAACCGAAGTTATTGGGTGCATTTACAAGTCATTTTATTTAATAATGTCGAATTTACACCGCAAAGGTAAAAATTCACTTACACAGCAATTGCACCTGGCTTTTATGCAGCATTGCATCTTTACACAACAGACTTGTGAGTAGGCAGTGTAAAGATGCTTTGTTTTTCATATATTATGCCAAGTTTACACTACAAATGTGACACAGAGGCACTTGTAAAGTGGCATTTAGATATCTTTACACAAACTCTAATGCAGCTCAGAGGTGGCATAAATGCATTTACATTGCTATGATAACTGTACACTTTGATAGTAGGGGCTGAGGTGGGTCAGAGCAGGCATAATTTAGTCTGGCTTTTATGCATTGTGTCTTTGCACAGAATTTTAAGCAGTTGTTAACACTTAACAAAACAATAATGGTGGATAAGTTACCCGAGTGCTAACGTGACTAACTGATGAAACAATACAGTTTGAAAACCAAAATATGTCTACTGTAATGTCTGAAGAATGACAGACAAAAGACGCTCCGTGTCTTAACCTTTAATTATAACGCAGAACAGCTTTATCACATGCGCACCAGCCTAACTAATGCCGGGTTCAGACTACACGATATTTTTGTCGGTCACGATAGTCATTGTGTCAGAATACACGATTTTGACTCCTAAAATCTTGTCGTGTCGTGGACAAGAAACATGTCAGACTACACGTTGTTTCCCGACCATTCATCGCGTGCCGTCTTTAACGACGCGCGTGATGTCATCGAGGCGGAACTAGCGACTGACTTCCGAAAACAAGAGTGTAAAGTTGCTGTAACGCTTCCGTTATAGTTCGCCAGCATTTTTCTTTCTTTGTTCTGTCGTGGTAGTCCCTCGATGACACATCATACTGGCAGGAGTACTGTTGCCACAGCTCCACGAACCTTTCCTCCATCTCATAATTCCACCTAGCAGCACCATCATCTCTCTTTCGTTTTGCCATGTTTGAAACCTGTGTATGAAAGAGCTTCTGTGCTGCTATTGGTCAACGTCACCAATGTGACAGAACTCGTCATGGACGACGGGGAAAAAATTAAACATGCTAGTCTTTCTGCCGTAATGTCATGAAGCATCGCAGACGCGGAATCGGTTGCCGTCCACTATGACACACTACACATGCTGAAACGATGGAATCTTGCGTCCCGACGCCCATTGTCGTTTACGAATCCCCACGACACCCTACATCAAGCAAATCGTGGCAAAATCAAGCTAAAATCATGTAGTCTGAACCGGGCATAACTAGTCTCTCTCTACCGGGTCTTTTACTCTCTGCATTAACCCTATAACTACATATACAGCACTTTCACATTGATTATAAAGTCTGTGCGCTACACTACATTCTTTATTATTAAACGAAGTAATTAGAACAACGTCAGTCTACATTAATCGACACATTCTTAGGAAATAGTGGGTTCACAGCGAATTATCAGAACTATTTCAGTAAAACAGTAATGTTGTGCTTTACCTGGAAACCTAAAGCTGCACTAGGTATACATCACATATTAGCACAAAAAAACTAGATATTTTGAGCACTCAATTGAACATGTACACATAACGTATCAATCGTACTTACAGGTTGTGGTTCGGAGAGCTTGTTAGTCCAAATGAAGAAGATTAGAAGCCAACGAAGATAAAAGGCAAGATTAGAGAAGCAGTCCTCGGTAAAATGACGAGCACAACAAAAGGTTTGAATTGTATTGCTGTGGTATCGTGGAACACAGTATCTTCTCGACACAGAGAGCGTTCGTATTTCGTGGGCAGGCGGGAATTATGCTAATGTGTTACCCAGTGACGTAGATCGGTAACAGGCAGAAGATTCGAAAATATAACGACTCGTTAAGGCGGTTGTGAGTCGACTCTTTCTTTTGAGAGACAATGTCTTTATTTATCATGAGCTTTTTTGGTTAACAACTTTGCAGACTGTTTACATGGAAGGATAGCTACCTTACAAACTGCAAAAGAGATATTTTTCGAAAACCCATATGACCTGCTCTTTAAACGTATGCACAATACATTATATGGGTTTGATGTTTATAAATGGGGTTGCAAAAAGGTGTAAATTTCAGAAATATTCCAGAAATTTTGGAAACTTTCCAGGATTTTTGAGAATATTCCAGGGATTTTTGGAAAGTTACCGGAAATTTTCCACCCCTTTGCAACCCTATTTATAAATATATAATTTTTATCAATGTACTGAAAGTCACGATTGTTTCAACAGCAAATATCTTATCCATTTGTTTTACCACAACATGAATACAATGATCTGTTAAACAATAATTTTTTTTAATGATGTGATGTCCCCATCGTTTTCCTGTAATTTAATGCCTTTTAATATTAATAATTTATAAAAGTATATAACAACAACAACTAATAATAATGATTATTCTTTTTCTTATTAAAAATAATAATAATGATTGTGATTAATTATTATTATTTATATTGTTGTTGTTACTAGTACTATTATTATAAAAAATATTATATACATTTATAAAGTACATATGTGTGGATATACACACACATACACAATAGCAATAATAATAAATATTTATTATTATATTAATAATAATGTATACATAATTTAACCAATTTGATCAAAACCTGATTTATATACATCAGTTCAGTAATAGTCTTACAAATACAAATGTCAAGTTTTCTACTCTGCTGGAAAGTGTTTCTTACCCTATTAAAATAGTGAGGTTTCCCAAATATGTTAATGTAGATTTTAGCTAATTCTAACATTTAATTCAGTAAATTAATTCAGTAATAATCTTAAACGTGAATGTGGCTGCATGTTTTTCTCCAGTATATATAAGTGCAAAAATAATGTTATGAGGTGTTATTTATTATTATATTATCAAAGCCTATACGTTATTTGATCAAAGTATTTTTTATTTTATTGATGTTTTTTTCTTTTGTTACTCAACCTCTTTCATTTAACTTGCATGCAACTCATTAATTATTAAATAAATAGGATCCATGCAGTACCAGAACAAACATATATACGGTCTCATTCCATTTAAGAAAGAGTACTGTTATTTTCATCATAAAGTGTTATTTTAATGACACTGTTAGACTGCACAATATGTCTTCGTGTCTAGTGTCTTAAGCAGTCATTTGGCAGGTGTTGTGAGATTAATTATCCAGTAAAGCCGCGTCCTTCCGCTTTTACATAATTGAATGTAAGCTCCATCACAACAAAGCCAATGAGTGGCTGTGGCGTTGAAGTTGAGTGCTTATTAGTCGTGGTCTAATGGTTAGAGAGTCAGACTCGTAACCCAAAAGGTTGCGGGTTCGAGTCTCGTACCGGCAGGGATTGTAGGTGGGGGGAGGGAATGTACAGCGCTCTCTTCCACCTTCAATACCACGACTGAGGTGCCCTTGAGCAAGGCACCGAACCCCCAACTGCTCCCCGGGCGCCGCAGCAAAAATGGCTGCCCACTGCTCCAGGTGTGTGTTCACGGTGTGTGTGTGTTCACTGCTGTGTGTGTGCACTTTGGATGGGTTGACAAAAAGCAATTTCGAATGGGCTCTTAAACAGCACAACCAGCTATTGGTCCATTTCTGTGAGTATATCTTCTTGCATGTGTGTTTTTATGGCTTTCCTGTCATAAATCCAGCTCGATGAGCTGACAAATCAATACTTCAACTTGAAGTAAAAACATTAACAGTACTTTTTTTTTATGTAATGCTTGTTTTTCTGTATTGAGACCTGTATAGAGATTTTAACATCTACTTCAAAGACTTATAAAACAAACTCAATTCAGATGAATAATGGTGGCATGGTGTTCTGCTTGAATCTCAGCGCTGGTAATTGGAAAGTTGCTGGTTCGATCTTCACAATGAACCATGAACTATCACCATTGTGCCTTTGAGCAAATCATTTAACCTAAGGGGGGTTGTTTGTTGCTTTGGATGAAAACATCTGCTGAATGACTATTTACTTACTAATGAAGACACAGTGTATATAGAAGCAAACTAGATAGCGAATTAGAGTCAGCACATCTGGGACCACTACAAAATGCACTTTTATACATTTTTTGGTGTGTATTTGCAACAAGGAGTAAACTGTTGCAGCTTTTACTTGTACCTGCTGTAGATGCGCCTCTTTCTGGCCAGTCCCTTGGCTCCATCCTTGAGTTTAGAGAAGCAGCCGGTGCGCTGAAGGAAGCAGAGTCTGATGTGAGACTTGGAGGAGTGGATGTGAAAAAGGAAAAAGATCTTGCCGCATCCCTTAATGTCACAAGAATACCATCACTACGGCTGTACCTGTCTGGAAACAAGAACAATCCAGTGTACTGTCCAGGTAATGTTGAAATATGACAAGATTCTGTCCTTATTTACTGACCCTTGCGCCTTTCCAAAATCGAATATAGGGATGCATCCCTTTAGGATCAGTTTTCCATATATGTTTGTTGTTTGACTCCATCCCCAGATCTTAAGAGCTCTGCCACAATCCTGACATGGCTTGAAAGAAGAAAAGGGCAGAGCGCTAACATCATCAGTAATCTCACACAGCTGGAAAAATTCATAGGAGAAGAGGAGCTTGTGGTGCTGGGATTATTTAAGGTAACTTGCCTATTTATTTTAGTAAGTCTTTTTACCCAGTTATTTTCAGTGAAAAAATGCTTCACAGATTTGAATCATCATAAAAAAAAGTGTGCACAGAAGTCCTGAGGTATTATGCATCATTTTTGTTATTTAAAAAAAAAGCACATTTTAGGTAAATACTGCTATTTATTATGTTTTCTCTCACAGTGGAGGGATTTGCAATTGTCTTGTAACTAAATGTTATCCAAAATTGTAACTAAATATGTTTTCTTGACCAGTTGTTCAGTAGTTTTTCTATTTAAATATTAATTGACGTTTTAAAGTGACAATATAAAATAAAATTTAGAAAACATACATTTTTAACTAATTAATGAAGTATTATTATTGCTTTTCACTGATGATCATTTTGATAAAGGACAACAAGCTTTTCTCCTACAAAAGTATCAGCTGAAATGAAGGATTCATTCATGATTCAGCCATAACTAAAGATGTTTTAATGCTTTAAAATGTTTTGCAAATTTGATTCAATTATTTTGAAAGAAACCGTTCAAATGAAGGATTCTGACAAATGTTTTGGGAATTTGCTCAAAAGAATCAGTTCAAATGAAGGACAAATAGCTCAAAGATGTTTTATTGCATTGTTGTGTTCGCCACTGTTTTTAATGATGCTCATACACTACAGGATCTTGAGGAAGACATAGTGAAAGTGTTTTATGAAACAGCCGCTGACATCGCAGACCTGCCCTTTGGAGTAACAGGAAATGATGAGATCTTCAGCAAGTATGAGATCAGTGGAGATACCGTTCTCCTCATCAGAAAGGTACGCATTTCTGCTTTTCAAGACTCTTTTCTGAGTTTCAAGACTCTGCAACATTTCCCCCCACACATCAATAAAATGTCCCCCAAAAAAAGAATAATCTGCCGCCTTTTTACCGCACATTATGAATTGTGTCTCACTCATGTCTATCATTTTCTTTAGTCTAAACCTGACAAGCAGTTTGAGCTGGGAAGCAGCACAGTGAAGACAGATCTTGTTCAGTTTATCAGACTGTATGAGATGGAACTTGTGACCGAGTACAATGGCGAGGTAATTTTATATATGTGTATTTTAATATTTAGGCATTAGGACATATATATATATATATATATTATATAAAAATAAACAAACCTCTTTCTTTTTTGTGTTCCTCTCAGACAGCATCCAAGATCCTGAACTCAGTGGTGCTGAACCATTTTCTTCTGTTTATTAATAAGACTGAGGAAGGATTTGAAGAGACATACCTTGCTTTTAAAACCACTGCGGAAAAACTCAGAGGGAAGGTCAGTACATTTGACTTATATTTAGACATAAACCACATAAAATCCAGTACTGCTCAACAATACAATAAAATAAAATAAACAAATCAACAATAGAAATATGCTTAGAAATATTGTGGATTACTATTATGATATTGGTGGATGCCAGTAGTGAAGCCTTTCTGTTTTCTTTAAACTCTATCATTAGGTTCTGTTTGTGATGATGGATGTGAGTGAGCCACGGAATGGCCGAGTTATGGAGTATTTCCGTGTGAGATCAGAAGAAGTGCCTCAGATCCGTATGGTCAATTTATCAGACCACGTTCAATACCAGCTGCCATCTGATAAGTTTGACACACAGACTCTTTTAGAGTTCTGCCTAAAATACCTGGATGGGAAAGCAAAGGTGAGTATTGAGAGGTAAATGAAAGAAATCAATTTTCATCTTTTTATATATATATTTTTTCATTTTTATCTTTGTCTTATCTTTTTTAATTGAAAAATAATAATAATTCAAATGAAAACTATTACTAAAATATAAATTAAAATATTTTTAAAATGTATTTAAAAAAATTATTATACACAAAAAGGTTTTATTATAATATTCAAAGCTCAAATATCTTTGTAATTTATAGCCTAAACTGCAGAGTGAGTCAATTCCTGAAAACTGGGACACGCAGCCAGTGAAAGAGCTGGTCGGGATGAACTTTGAAATAGTGGCCTTCAACCATAACAAAAATGTCATTGTCTTGTTCTGTAAGTACCTCAAATTTTAAAATGCTTCAACTTGATATCATGAGTCGGTGTCTTAACTTAGCCTGCGATTAGCTGTTTTGTTTATTAAGTATGATTGTTCCTCTTTATTCTGACATTTCCATGTTCCATGTAAAAAAACATGAGTATTTAGAACATACTGTATTTCAATAGATGCACCTTGGAGCAGCGAAAGTCGTGCACTGTTTCCATTGTGGGAAGAGCTTGCTGAACACTTTCGTGAAAATGAAGATGTTGTTGTTGCCAAGATTGATGTTACTGCAAACGATGTAAACATTCATCTAAGAGAAAAATACCCATCAATCAAATTATTTCCTGCCGTTTATTCAGAGAGGGTAAGCAGTCTCTTACAATTAACTGTTTACATTGCTCTGCATAATATTTCAGATCTTATATTGATTGTAAATCCATATTTAGGATGGCCACGTTATTGTGTTAGTCTTTGGGCTAAAGAAATTAGTCGTGCTTGTATTGTATTGTTTAGGAGTACAGTCCATGAGTATTTTGTAATCATCGTACTAAAATTTTTGCCAGGTAGTGCCATATTCTGGCAAGAGGAAGCTGAAGCCTATTGTAACATTTATGAAAAAAGAGATTGAGAAAGCCAAAACAGACAAAGCCAAGGTAAGTTATCACACTCTCACATTAATAGACATGGATTGTATTCATTATGCACACTCACCATGCTGTGCTTGTATATATGCTACAGGAGGAGGAACGGAGGAAGAAATATCTGAATGAACAGAAGGCTGCTGTGAAAGAGGAACTCTGATCACTCACTGTAATCGCAAGAACTAAAGCAGTTTTATTGATTTCTTCGAAACTAACATTTTAATGTTTTATATCAAACTCTTTCCAATTTAAAAATGTTTTTGTAATCATGAATGTAACAAGTATTTTCAGTATGTACATGTGTGAAAACAAGATGCTATAGTTACAGCACTGACTGGCTGGTTACCCACTGATACCATGTTTATGATATGTGACCCTGGAGCACAAAACCAGTTTTAAGTCGCTGGGGTATATTTGTAGCAATAGCCAAAAATATATTGTATGGGTCAAAATTATTGATTTTTATTTTATACCAAAAATCATTAGGATATTAAGTAAAGATCATGTTCCATGAAGATATTTTATAAATTTCCTACTGAAAATATATTAAAACTTAATTTTTGATTAGTAATATGCATTGCTAAGAACTTCATTTGGACAATTTTAAAGGCGATTTTCGCAATATTTAGATTTTGTTGCACCCTCAGATTCCAGATTTTCAAATAGTTGTCTCGGCCAAATATTGTCCGATCCTAACAAACCATACATCAAGCTTGTTTATTCAGCTTTCAGATGATGTATAAAGCTTATGACTGGTTTTGTGGTTCAGGGTCACATATATTATTGTTCTGTACAGTATACTCCACTACAGTTTACTTTTAAAGGACAATTTGCACACACACTTCATTTCCACTAGAAGGCGCCTCTGTTTCAAAGTGCTGCCTTCATCCTAAACTGATCATTGCAACCTCATATTAACTTTAAAAACAACTTGCAGGTCTCCGAGAGCTATATGTTGTCAAAAAGTTAAAATGTGATATTTTTCAAAGCACATATGGATTCCAGTCAAGGAATATGATTGGTCAATACTAGGGGTGTAACAGTTCAGATTACTCACGGTTCGGCTCGTTACCAAGAGTACCGCGATACATATGCACACGCGTGGGTGATGTATCACGGTTTTTCCGGTTTGGTTTGAATATCGTTACACTCCTAGACAATACAGCTAAAAACACAAAAAATATGTAGCCACAGTGAGAGACCATTTCTTGTGTGGAATGATGTTCAGTTGTTTAATAAAATGACAACTGAATGAAAACTGTGCTTATATATATATATATATATATACGCACACACACATTACTCCATTGGCAACAATCTAGAAAGATCCTTTTTAGCCCCAGGCACTGTAATTACAAATATCTACCAGCAGGTCTAAACTCCATATTACTATATTTACAGCAAAATCTGTTCAGAACTCCTTAAAAAAACAAAAAAATCATAGCCTTGGCCTCACCTCGGGAATGCATGCATACTGTCATATCCAGGTTTTGATGGCAGGCTTACAGCATGAAGGAGGAACCTTTACCTGATCCCAAAAAATAAACAGTTACAGACTGTATGTGAGAGAGATTGCGTGACCTCCTAAATAGATTTGGTTCAGTAAACTCTAAAATCCTTTAATTGGGAAAACACTTAAACACGTGATATACTAATACTTGACAAGCACATTGATCTACAGAAGTGTAAGTCGAGGCCAGCCTTTTCGATCTGAAATTGCAACGTACACACAATACATACTGTAACCTTTCCTGCAGGTATGTTGGGATTTTGAATTTAGAACTACAATACCAAGAAATAACCATATTTACCGTGAAAGCTGCCAAGTTGGGTTTAAATGTGACTAAGACTGTTTGATGAAAAATAAGCTTTGTAAATCAATCAACCTCTTATGCTGGGTTCAGACTACACAATATTTTTGTCGGCCACGATAGTCACTGAGTCAGATTACACGATTTTGACTCCTAAAATCTTGTCGTGTCGTGGACAAGAAACATGTCAGACTACACGTTGTTTCCCGACCATTCATCGCGTGCCGTCTTTAACGACGCGCGTGATGTCATCGAGGCGGAACTAGCGACTGACTTCCGAAAACAAGAGTGTAAAGTTGCTGTAACGCTTCCGTTATAGTTCGCCAGCATTTTTCTTTCTTTGTTCTGTCGTGGTAGTCCCTCGATGACACATCATACTGGCAGGAGTACTGTTGCCACAGCTCCACGAACCTTTCCTCCATCTCATAATTCCACCTAGCAGCACCATCATCTCTCTTTCGTTTTGCCATGTTTGAAACCTGTGTATGAAAGAGCTTCTGTGCTGCTATTGGTCAACATCACCAATGTGACAGAACTCGTCATGGACGACGGGGAAAAAATTAAACATGCTAGTCTTTCTGCCGTAATGTCATGAAGCATCGCAGACGCGGAATCGGTTGCCGTCCACTATGACACACTACACATGCTGAAACGATGGAATCTTGCGTCCCGACGCCCATTGTCGTTTACGAATCCCCACGACACCCTACATCAAGCAAATCGTGGCAAAATCAAGCTAAAATCATGTAGTCTGAACCGGGCATAACTAGTCTCTCTCTACCGGGTCTTTTACTCTCTGCATTAACCCTATAACTACATATACAGCACTTTCACATTGATTATAAAGTCTGTGCGCTACACTACATTCTTTATTATTAAACGAAGTAATTAGAACAACGT